CCGAGCCCCACCGCAAATAGTGAAAATCCATCAATACTTGATGCTCATTTGCTATGAAAAGATTTATTTTATGCGGGAAAAAAGAAGTGCATACTTGCGGGGAGGGGGTCTTAATCGATGCTGCATGCACGTTTTTGTCGGAGGTCACATTGTAAATGACGAGCGGTGTTGTCAACAAGGGGACATTTATTTGCCGCAATGTGCTCATCAGACTTTTCTAACGTAACGCCCACAGAAGCCTGAAGGACGTCCACGACCTCCGCCAACAAGAAGAAAAATGGACATCGCGGCGGCAGTCATGATGAATGAATTACGCCTGCCAAATTTAGCCGGCCAGTCTACCATGAAATGGGGCAAGAGGCGTCCACCTTTGGAGGCAGACACACAAACACACATACACACCTGCACACACACACTGCCGGAAAATTTTACGCTTCTCCCCACCCCCCCCCCCCCGGACACACAAACACACATACACACCTGCACGCACACACACTGCCGGAAAATTTTACACTTCTCACCACCCCCCCCCAAAAAAAAACAATTAAGCCACAACCTCCATTTGTGCTGGGAGGCGAAAAGACAAACCTTTCACACTTGCACGGCTAACACATCAAGATGGATGCTTTCGTCTGACATTTGTCAGGATATTCTGGTCGAACCTTTCACTCGGCGCCGAATCAACAGATGCTAACGTCTACTAACAGCATAGCATAGCATAGCATAGCATAGCATAGCGAAATAGCAACTTGAGAATTTGACATTTTGGCCCATCACCAGGTTCAACTCCAAAAGAAAATTAATAACACGCTAACTTCTTAGCATAGCAAGAGAGACACCTCAGTACAAAACCGTACTCAGGTCGAGCCGACCTGCCCAGTTCATCTTCAAATGAGAATTGATGAAATGCTAATAGCTTAGCTTAGCAGTGCATAGCATCCCACCATGCCTTTTAGGGGTGTACGGAAAAACAATCCTGCCACCGTTTTGGACTGCCGTTAGATAGTGCAGGCGTACCTAATCAAGTGGCCAACAGATACGTCTTGTGCGCTAACGTTTCCATATTCCTCCCTCTGCGTACACTGGAATATGAACGCTGTCGGGTTGGATTTAATGTCATTGTCTTCGCTCACGCGCACGCGCACGCAGCAGAATGACTCAAGTGGCTCCAAGCACATTGTGAGCTCAGTCCCTGACACACACGAATATTCATCCATATTTGTGCGTATGCAACCGTGCGGTGAATACGCAGCGTTGGCCAGTGACATCATCATCATCATCATCATCATCATCAGACTGACAATAAGGCAATCAATTCTTTTCAAGCAAACGTTGAGCTTTGCTGTGGCTGAGCATGAATGCGTCATTACGCCTATTGTTGAGCTCAAGTGAAGCAGCGTATGATTAAACGGCCACTATTTTTCATTTTCAGAGGAGTGATCGGGCCCCTCACTTGCTGGCCTGCCTTCAAGCTTCTGCCTCCGCGGACCTTCCTCGGCCTTTGAGCGGCTTCCATGGGGAAAAAAAAAGGGGGGGCCATTTCAAGATTTGAAAGCAAATAATTAGAACTCTCAAATGTATCGGGAGCCAGTGAAGGGATGCCAGAGTTGGAGTTCTGTGCTCACTCTTACGAGTACCAGTTAAGAGGCAAGCAGCATTCTGGACCCACTGGAGACGCTTCATGGAGGATTGGTTGACTCCAAAGTAAAGTGCGTAACAGTAATCCAGCCGGGATGTGACGATGGCCTAAACTCCTGTTTCAAAGTGCTTTTGAGAAAGGAGAGACTTGACCTTCGCCAGCTGCCTTGGAAGAAAGACGACAACAGCAATTTGCCGGTCCAATTTCAAATCACTGTCCAGTTTAAGAGCCAAGTTCAAGCCAACAGAGCTTAAGATAAGGAGCCAGGGGGCCCGACTCCGCAGGGTGGGACATGCAAGGGCCACTGGGACTAAACACCAGCACTTCTGTCTTCTTTTCATTGAAAGGCAAGAAATACCGTGCCATCCAGGTCTTGATTTACTCCAGACAGGATAAAAGAAGTGGGCTCAATGAGAAAGTGTCTTTTTTTTTTTTTCCAAAAACTTCAATAAAACAGATTTTTTTTTTCACAGCAGTCATGAAAATGGGATTTTTTTTTTGTTGGTATCGAATCGAGGTTAAAAATTACCCGCAAGTCCTTCTGCTCGTCTCTTTGTGCAGCCCATATCTTGAACCCTTGTTTCACACGCCCGCCCCGACCCCCCGCCTCTACTTTTGACTCTTCTCTCTGTGCACAACCTTTTACGGCCCACCTTTGACCCTCTTCCCCCTTTCACCCACCTTCATCCGTCCCTTTAACCCTCTCTTCATCCCTCGTCTACCTTTAACTCCCCTTTGCAGCCGTCCCCCTTTTATCTTCCTCACCTGCCTCTTTAACTGATCTAATCTGATCATTTTGCACCCTCCCCTCTGCCTTTTACCCTCCTCACCTCTTGCAGCCTTCTAACTCGTCTTTTTGCACCTCTACCTTTACACGCTCCTCTCTCCGAAACAAAAACACTTTGAGGCCCATCTGCGGTTGAGTCGGTCCAAGTCGTGTTGAATGATGAGGTGCTGCCTGCCCGTCTACTTGATCGCTCAAGCCGACGGCGCACAGCTGCTGAACGCGCAGCATGGCGAATACTCAATTTGGAGTGTCGGCAGATGAAAGAGGAAATATGAAATCGGGCGCTCCGACTGAAGGCCGCTGGGGGAATTTGCTTTTTTTCCATTTTTTTTTTATATTGACGCCCCGGGTGAGGTTTTATGCACACAAGCAATGAACGCTCCACAGGCCCGCTGAGCGAGAGTGACGAGAGAGAGATGAGAGGTGGCGGCGACGGCTCGCGGCGCCAAGACACAACCTGGTCAAAATGGAGGCGCTTCCCGCACAAAAACGTGACTCGATAGCACCACCTGGAATTCTTATTTTCATCTGGTTGCCACCCAATCGCAGCACACACATACACGAACACCCACTCACGCTCACGACCATCAAAATGCCAATGCCAGCTCACTTAGCAACATGACATTTGGTAGGCATGTCTATCATGAGTAGACCCACAAAAAAAATCAAGAAAGCATGCCCCAAAACACAAAGGAAGTCAGCGATTTTGGTTCAAAGGCCATTTCCTGGTCCCCTCCAGATTTTGTCAGATTGCTAAAAACATGAAAACTCATCTGTCAAAATGAGTCCCCTAAAGGCAGTTTTCAACGAGCTACATGAAATTGGGTCGTCTTTCCTACAACATGTGGACCCACAAAAAAGTTTTTGGAGACCATGCCAGAAAAGATAGTTGACAGTTTTGGTTTGCAGTAGCCAAATTTGGCTTGCGACCACCCTCTGGGATCTTTTTGAAAAGTCAGCCCTCATGTCACGTTCACGCAGAAATAGGACATTAACTAGACATGTCTGTCACAAGTAGACCCACAAAAAAAAAAAAATAAAAAAATAAGGCTTAAGAAACTATACCCGCCAAAAGTCTGTTGTTTTGGTTTGCATACATGGCAATGGCGAGTGATGAAAAAAGCGGAAGGGGCGTGGCCTGGACGGGGGCGTGGCCTGGACGGGGGCGTGGTTACTTACAAAAGTGGCACTAAACATGCTGAAGATGAAGTGTATTAAATTTACACAGTTTGAAAATTGAACAGAAAAAAATCCCAAGATCGCCACTATTCTTTCAAGTGAAAATTTGTGCAATTTTGCCTATGCATTCCTGGTGAGCACCAATATGTAACTCCAAAGTTGCTGCTCAAAATCAAAACTAAAAAAGTAAACACATTCC